TCAATCAGCCTAGTAGTTTCTTTGCGGTTCATCCCCCCCCCCCCCCATTGAAACTATGAAACTTCTACAATTTCAACAACTTTTAAGTTGAATAAAAATGACATTTTTAGGGCCTTATGGATTGTGCTTTATTTATGAAATTACGTTTTTATTTTTCCCAAGTTTTTTTATTTTTCCTGGATTCCATTTTAATGGTTTAATTAAATTGTAATGATCAGAAAACATGTCTATCAACTGAAACTTAATTTATTGTTTTTACATTAATGGGGACCCATGCAATTATTTTTTCCCCAGAAATTCTGTTGCGTTTAAATATTTCTGGATTTATGATTTAATACAAATTTATATAAAGTGCTAATCAAATGAAGGCATAAAACGTTAACAAATGAATTAATTTCTTAATTTAAAATCAAATGAAAAATTCCGCACAACAGCAGTTTACAGTTAAAATTAAAACATGCAGTAGTTAGTAAGTTTACTATTACTTTGAGAAGTACACTCTACTGTACAATAATAATGTATTTGTATCTGTTTGACAACCTACCCACAATTCTCTGCCCTTCCTCTGTTCTCAAACGTACAATCTGCATCTTCACATTGGTTCCGCTGACTGAGGCCAGCACGCCCTCCACTTTGGTCCACACACTGAGGACAGAGCCACAGAGGACATAGTATGTCCTGCACCGCAGCCCGATCTCACACTGTAGCCCCACCGACACTTTCTTACAGTTCCCTCGCCTGTCAAGAAGAGTGTTTCTCATGACAACATTTTCAGACTTCACAAATCAAAAGTGAAACAGCATGTTTGCTTCTATTTTCCCTTCTGAAATGATTTAAAAGCACCTACCAGTACGCGTGCGAGCAGACATTAGCCGAGGAGTTGTACTGATCAATCCAGTGCTGCTTGGCATCATCAGAGAGGACCTATTTTGAGAGGAGAAGGATTAGAGACTGTACGAGCTGAGGAAATGACATGAAACAGTCTGCAGGATGCCAAAAGAGGCTAAAATTAACATTCGCCAAGCACCAAATGAGAAAGCAAATTTTTGATTTGGGATGTTGACTTATAAGTGGTTTAATCTGCATGACAGCATGACCTTCATTATAGCCATTCAGAAGTTTTCAGAACATTAGACATGCAGCTGGGAAGCCTGAAAGTCATGTGACGAACAATGCTGGTGTTAAAGGGGTCATATGATGCTGTTAAAAAGAACATTATTTTGTGTATTTGGTGTAATGAAATGTGTTTATGAGGTTTAAAGTTAAAAAAACACATTTTCCACATACTGTACATTATTGTTTCTCCTCTATGCCCCGCCTTTTTGAAACGTCGATTTTTACAAAGCTCATCGGTCTGAAAAAGCGAGGTGTGCTCTGATTGGCCAGCTATCCAGTGTGTTGTGATTGGCCGAATACCTCAAGAGTGAGACGGAAATGTTACGCCCCTCACCATACTGTTGATGCTGTCTCCAGCCAGAGCGACGAGATAAAAACATTAAAACCCATTACAAACGAGGCATTTGTTGCATCCAGTGGGGACATAACTACTGATTATGTCTTATACTGTCTTTTTACGTGTTGCGTTGCATCGCGCCGCGTAAACATAAAACTCTGTCTGCATTTGTGATTGGAGAAATGACAAACAACAAGTGCTACTCTACTGCCCAAAACTCGCATTTGAATCATCAATGGCAACGAAAAACACAGCTGCCTAGCGTGAGGGGAAGCCCCGACTTAGCGTGTGCTGAGGCCGGGATAGAGTGAGCTGAGGCGGGCTGGACTCCGCTTTGTCCACGGTGAAAGTTGATGCATTCCCTCCACGACCAGCACGGATCAGCTCCAGGAATGAGGAAGCGGATATCGTCCTCTTTTGGATGACCAAACAAAGTAGTTTCGCTTTCACAACGAAGCACACAGCGTCTTCAGGACATGGCTGCAGCGTAAACAATACTATAGTGAGAATAAAAGTTATGCCTTCTTTCTTTGCGTGAACATTTGGGCGGCGTTATTCAAATCTTCCCACATAGTGACGTAGGTATGTGGGGGCATGTTAGACCGAGCCGTTTTAGGTAGGTGTGGCTGACTCTTAACTTTTATAAAGAATCTCTCTTTGGTTTTGAGACTTTAGTCTTTGCAACTTTACAGATCTTCTTTATGCACCAAGAGCTTGTAACACTCCAAAGAGAAAGGAAAAATTGAAAATCGCATCATATGACCCCTTTAAACATTTGAAGATAAAATTTAAGATGTGATCATGACTGTCTGTAATTAGCCCAATGTGCGGCTTGAAAACGACAGATGTCTCAATCTCAAAGCAACTGACATAAAAAGCATGATTTGATTTTGGGACATTTTTAAGGTGCCGTTTCAACTGGAGTCTAGCTAGAACAAGCTGTTTTAAGTGACACAATAACTAGGGTGTGACCGTATGTCCTCTTTTTCCCCGTCATGTCCTGTCAGAAAATTTCTAAATTGCCTAAAACATTCGTGTTTTAGCTTTGTTTTCTTATTGACTTATCTTCAACAGTCCTCACACATTGTGTGTGTGCATATTTGCATTGCTTTGACATTCTCTGTACATCC